ATGATCGTCGAATCGAGCTGCTCTGCAACTTATTGTCATTTGGTTCCACCCAACTCAGGCAACACCAGAATATCCTTCTGTTCTACTGCAGATCAGCGTCTAATTTCTCCGCCTTCACACGCAGTACCCTGGAGAACGGTGATCTCCGTCGATTTTTGCCAGGCGGGTAGAACCATTTCTGTTCTGTTCTCCACCGCTAAAAATTCTTTTTTTAAATTTTTATTCATTCACTTTTACTCTTATATCCTTTATTTCATCGCATGTGGAGTTGGGGGGGGGGGGAGGGAATTTGGTGCAGAGAGCGCAACTTTTTTTGAAAACACAACGAACGATTCTTTTTGTACAATTCATCAATTCAATCAATCTTAGCTTTGGGCTCATTTACGTAGGGGAGGGGGGGGGAAGATGTCATAACAGAGTTCGATAGTAGGTGACACTAACAAGGGAGGTCTTTCAGGGCAAGGTGCGCTTTTTCAAAACGGTTTTGTGCATATTGTAGGGACGCATGTAGGGAACGCAAAACCATGTTTCATTTTCGCTGAACGGTTATAGCAGTACCAAAAAAGAAGCATAAGGTACTGTTAAGGGTTCGATCCCCGTGGCGACTAAATTTTGCATTTGGGTTGGCGCCTACGGTTTGGTGCCAAATCGCGCTAAATATCAAAATCAGATGTCAAATTCATCGTCAGGACCATTTTGAAGCCAACAAGTGGCCGCCAACCTTGATTGCAAAATTTAGTCGCCGCGGGGATTGAACCATCAAGAGTATTATTCACCACTTTTTTGGTACTACTAAAACCGTTCAGCGAAAACGAAACATGGGTTTGTGGTCCATACATGCGTCCCTACAACATGTACTAAACCGTTTCCAAAAAGCGCACCTTGCCCTGAAAGACCTCCCTTGTAAGAACGAAAGCCAACGGAGGGCGAAACGAGGGAGAACACAAATAGCTCACATTATCCCCCCCAGAATCGTCTCTCCCAGTCCGATGTCAAACTTTGCGACTTGAGCGATCGGCTGGAACTGCAACGCGACCGCGGACGCTAGCGAATCCCTCGATTCGCAAAGTCTAACATCGGCCTAAGCCCTATCGTTAGTCCCAAGCACAGTGATTGACTCACCCCCCCCCCCCCCCCCCATCGATATGAGCGCCCTGGCTCTTATTGTTTGTTTACTTGTTTACTGGTTTGTAAAGTGCTTCTTTGACGCCGCGGGTCGCCCATAACTCACCATTCTTGTGAATCAACCAGTTTCCTTTCCGTACAAACAATGTGTTCATGCACCTAAGGCACTGTATATTCACCACAATCCTCCCTCATCGCTGCCTACTCCCGCACCCTCCCCCCTCCTCACTGCACCTATGAAAATGTACTGCAGCGTAGCTTCTTGAGGGTCTATTCCATAATTGTCGCAACCTTAAGATCGTGAAAAACAACAGGCCAGACTTACTGGGCCAGCACTTGCCTGGCTTTTTCGAATTACACTTGGTCGATACGACCCTCTATTTCCGAGACCAAGAAAGAGGCGCCGAGGTGCAGACGCATACACCACAAATGACGGCCAAAGGAAGACAAAGCGCTTTTTCTTTTTTTTTTTTCTACCGGTTCGTAGTCATTTGTGGAGTGTGGTTTGCAGCTCAACTCTCTCCTCGTGTTTCTTCTCAGAAAAAAAGTAATCTAATCTTGTTGTGAGGTGCTTGCGGCTCTCCGGTTTAAACGTAAGCCACAATTAAAAGCCTGAAGTTCCCAGGGCAGGGTTACAGTTATCGCGCTCTAATCCCTCATTCGTCGTTTGTTCTTATCGCAAAAGCTGTCATAAGTCAGCCGATCGAAAGAAGTTCGCCAGTGTTGGTCTTCGACTTGACGCTTCTGCTTCTATTTATTCGATTGCGATCTTGACAAACTGAAGCTGGATGTATTCGACTGACGACGACCGACATCTATTCTAGACTGGCGCTAAAATTCGTTTAGGTTGTGCTGGGCAACCTATTCGCGTGTCAAAATTCAGTTGAAACGTTTCCGACACTACATCAAACGAATACGCGTCAAATTTATGGCGTCTATGCTAAGAGTAAGTTTGATTAATTTTCAGGAACCTTATTTTTCCCCTGTGACCTTGTTTTCCTCGGTTGCTGCGATTTTTTCTTTCAGAAGAAAAAATCCAGTTGATTTTACTGTTTTTGTCATGTTGTCAGAATCTTCCAGAAGTTCAAGTGCACATACCTAGTTAGGTGGGAGAAGGGGGAGCTCATGTCGAATGGCGAGTACGAAAGACTGTCCGGGAAATCAACTATTGGTCGACCTAACGATGCACTTCGGGGATGTGCTAGGGCTGGTGGTTCGATAGAACAGGAAGCGACTTTTTCGCACGGAACCTCAGGTCCACCGCTGATCATCAATGGACCCGAGGGTTTCTGCACCGAAGAGTGTTTCGGGGTCTCATCCAGTAAGGGGGGCATGTGGTGCGACAGTTCATACTGCGTGAAGTAATCCACTTTTTTCTAGGGAGGGAAGCTCCGGGTGGGTGTAAAAGTTTAAGCGAAATGGTTCACGCACCCCGGGGATTCCTCTCCCTTGCAAAATTGGAAATTCTGTAGCCGGCAAGAACTGTCACACCACATGCCCCTCTTAATGGATGAGACCCGTGTTTCGCGCTGCGAAACCCGAAAAATTCGCTTTTTGTGCTAGTGAACCACGCCCGGGTGTGTCACCATTATTGTTTGGGGTGATAACACAACGTCAAAAGTCGGTATGCTCCTTCCACAACCGGAGCCAGAATGCGTCGCTACTTTTGTTGCTTACTCAAATGTCATTTGTGAGTAGGCCGAGCCCTACAATGTAGCCCCCAAATTTCCACTGGTCGGGCTTTTTACTTCTTGCAGCCGGAATCCAAAAAGCGTTGCTGAAGTACTGCGACTTTTTCAAAACCCTAAGTGATTCATTATGTGTTTCGAAGGGAAACAGTCTTCAAGCTATTTTTTCAGGGTGCCGAGTCGGAAACTCCTCTGAATTTTGACGACGAATGGGCCAAGATCCATAAGATTGTGTTGGCTCTGATAACACAGGAAGTCAGTTGGCTTTTTCCTCCTTTTGTTGTTTCTTCGTATAACTTTTTATATTTGTATAGATAGATCACAAAGCTTTTTAACCCATGTATCTGATCTTTCCAGAGAGTAACCCAGTTAGAATGGCAAGATTTGTTCCTTGCTGTGTACAAAATCCATTCGTGGGTGGACGACGGGAAGAAGAAGCTCCATGCCGCGATCGATTACAACGTGAAGGAATACGTAAGAATGGCTAGAGAGGTTCGTGTTTGAAAAAACTGCACCTGTTGTGCTGTTCGCTGTGGTTATGGCCTCTGGTTGTATGCAATAAAAGAGTTATTTGTGAACCAAATAGAATTATTTGAAACGCTAAACGTCATAGGGTGCAGTTTACGTTTAGTCAGTCCTATGTCTGATCGCACAACTATGTGGGGTAGATAAGTAATGAACATACGATCGCAACAGTGGGATGAGCCGGACGATCCACACGTATCGTTCAATTGTGTGATAGAAATCGGTCCGACTAAACCATGACTGAGGCCTTAGTGAACACGTGCTCGAATGTGGGGTGCAGTTTGCTGACAGCAGCCCACTTTTGAGCTGCACATGTCTAGGCTTTCTTATTTTTCCGACAAATTGAAAAAAAATCACCCATAAAACGGCGGGCCTTTGACTCCCTGTCAGTTTCTTTTTGTTGGATTCCTGTTCATGTTTCGAGTTGCAGTGCTTTTCAAGAAATCGTTCTTCTGTATTGTTTGGCAATTTAGTTCATAAAAGCTTCCTACGAGTTCAAGCTTTTTTTCGGGCATTTGCTTACAGTTTTTCTCATGGAAAGCTTCGTTTTCATTTCAGCGTATCAACTGTCATATCGAGCGTGGTGACCAGGCTTTGCTTAGAGCCTACATAAATGAGTGGACTAAGTTTCATGAACAAACCGGAATTCTTCCGCTGCCGTTCATGGTAAATCTTGAAGAATTAAACAACTTTTATAGTCAAAGACGGTATTGCCTTATGTGATTTTCACCTTTACTTATGACCTATTTCCGTTTATAGGCAATTGATCCGGAAACCGCTCCTCCAGCCCCTCTTCCACCTGGCAGCGAATCTCGTACTCCAAGGCAGTACCGAAGTAAAACTGTTCGGGAGGTTAGCTTAGATCTTCTGCTGCTGTTTGTCGCTGCATTCTCGGTGCGCTTTCTGCCCCGCTTTTTCAGTCTGGCCAGCTCCATCTGGAAACGTTTGATTTGTCACATTTTCCTATTAACATCTTGGTTATGTGAAAATTGCATAGTGCACTTAGATTACTGGGATTCTCTCATTCAATTTAGATTGTGCTGGAATTCACGATGAAGTGCTTTTCAGGAGATGCTAGAAACATGGAAGAAAGTTGTTTTTCAACACATCAGCTTGAAGCTTCTCTCAGCGGCTCTTCGTCTTGTTGAAGCAGAGCGTAATGGCGAAGCAGTTGATGCACATCTTGTCATTGGAGTACGAGAAAGTTGGGGTGAGGAAAAGATGTTTTTTTTCTCGTTTATTTTATCACTCTTTGTTCTCCTTTTTTAATATGGTAACTTTTATTGCTACTTTTTTTAATTTAGGGAAACGTTTTAGTGAGGGGAAGATGACGGATAGGGGTCATATTTTATGAATTGTCTTTTTCTCTACATTATGATGTTTTTAACAAGTTTCCTTGCAATCACCCACAATACTCACAGTATATGTAACGCTCAGTGGCTTTATACGACCAACGGGACTGCTATTACGAAGACGTTCTTGAACAGTACCGAAAGCACTTTGAACGAGAATTTGTTGAAGAGACTGTCGCGTATTACAAGAAACGAGCAGCGCAGGTAATTTCTCAGTTCTATCTGATTCAAATAACTCATTGAATATTTATATGTATTCAATTGTTGTGTTTTTTTTTAAGTATCTGCAGAAAACGGTGTGATCAACTATATGTCTTATGCCGATCGAATGCTTGAGGAGGAAGAGCAGCGAGCAAGAAAGTACCTGAACCCCAATCGCGAAAGTGTTGATAGGGTAAGGCCCATCTTCATGTTGCTTTCTTCCATCCCTTAGTTGTGTTTATTGGCTTTCTTTCGTCTATTTCTCATATACGATATTTAATATAATGTTTTTTATATTGTCGGTCTCATGGTTTTCAGCTGGTTGAGAGTTGTGTGCAAGTTCTCGTTGTTGAGTTTGAAGACCAAATTCTTGCCGAATGTCCATCGTTAATTGCCAAGAATGACGTTGAAAGTGAGTTGAGCCGTTTTTCTCCAAGATCTACCAGCTTTTTAATCGTTCTTTTCATTTTCCCGCAACTTTTTTTGTACCGCTTTCATTGGCTTCAGTGGACACAATTTACCATTATTTCGCTGAATGTGAAACTTGCTTATCAAACTGTTCTTACCAACTACTACTCTCTTTCGTGAAAAGCTGGCTCTTATGTGCATGAAACGTATGTTAACTTTACATGGACCCTGACTCAGATCCACTCTTTCGACGTCATACGGATCCAAAACGTAAACTTAGCTTAAGTTTGCATCAACCGTGTTTAATCCGTCGCATACCCGTGACTTAATGCCTGCACTCACAAGCGATGGTTCCACATATGACATTAGGTTCAATAGTGATACGAACTACACATTCGTGTTCAATGATTTAATTTCAATATCGGTTTGGCGTAGTCATGCGTAATCCATTGTCTGTGGATGTTTCAGAGCTACGTATGTTATATCGATTGATAAAGTGGACTCCTACCGGTATAGAAGTTGTGATCAAAGCGGTTGATAATCATATTCGTGGCGAGGGAATAGACGACATGAAGGAGAATGCGCTGACGATTACGACGGTAAGCTGCTAGGAACATGGTACCGCGGAATAGTAATGATTGTTATGAACATTGCAGGATCCTGAAAAGTACATATCACAATTGCTAAGTATGTTCGATCGATTTAGCACCCTAGTCAAAGAAGGTTTCTACGATGATGCTCGGTTGTTAACGGCGAGAGATAAGGTTGGTGCGATTTTGCAGGTTTCGCACTTTATCGAGCTCTGAGCTGAAAATATATGTTTCTCCCTTTGCCAACACAGTAGCTACCCTTTTTGTACTATGTGTATCTGTTTTTTGTACTATGTGTTTTATGTAGGACTTTATTTTTCGTGGGATGAATCTGTTATTACTGCTTTATGTTTCCCTCAATGCTCTTTGATTGCTCCTCATCTGTAATTTGAAAACTAAATCAAGTCCACCTTTCTTTGAGATAGATCCCTCATTTGAGGCATTCCGCGCTCTCGTCAATGATACGACTATCTTCAGAATGGAGTTACCATTAGGAAAAAAGAGGTATGCTCATTCTGTGAATTTTTTGCCGTTTCTGTTGTTATTTAATCTAGTTTTGCAGTCGAAATACGGCAGTAGAATCGAAATGTCCGGAGCTACTTGCCAATTATTGTGACCTTCTATTGAGAAAGACGCAGCTGAGTAAAAAGCTTACGTCGGAAGAGATTGACTCGAAGCTCAACAATCTAGTATGTGCTTTTTTTACAAGCTTCCCATTGAAATTCTTTGATTTGCGTTAGTTTTACGCCAATTAGTTTTCTCAAGCAGTACGAATAAGGTGCAAAATGTTTAGCTTCTTGTTCTGAAGTACATCGCGAACAAGGATGTTTTCATGCGATTTCACAAGGCCCATCTCTCACGGCGGCTTATTCTTGATATGAGTGCCGATCAAGAAAAAGAGGAGGCCATGGTCAACAAACTCAGGGTTGGTGTTCTTGAATGATGATTCTTATTCGTTAATGCATTTGTTTCCATTTCTTCGTGAAATATAATATTTGTAAGTCAATTTGTTATAATGCTCGTGGGTACATGTTCGTATTGTGCCTGGACAAATTGTGAACCTATTTCTCCCTCAATAATAGTATTCAGGAATGCGGCATGCCTGCTGAACATGTAAAC